GCGTGCCACAGCTCCTATTTAAATTTCAAATCATTACAGAGAATGGCTCTTAAAAAACGTCTATTTGTACGTCAAAATACGTACAAGTACAAGTACGCGTACAAGTTTAAAAATCTCAACCTCTCTATTAATAGCAATTAAACGCTTTAGACGCTGCATTATTAAATGATTGAAATTAAAAGAAGAAACTTAACTACCGTATAAACTTGTATAAAAATCATGCAATTTTCTTCAAAAGCTTGGATACCTATAATTTTTCATCCTAAAATCAAAATGTATATATGTTGATCAATTCTCAACTAGAAATTAAATGCAGTTTTCGCATTTCCTGAAAATTTATTAGATAATTACTATTTTTCCCTTTATAATATCAATAACTTTAAACACAGGCACTTGAATTTTTATCAATAAGTCGCTAAATTAGCCAAATATCGAAAAATTCTACCCGCTCTATTCATAGATACATTTTAAAGGGGGTAGAATTTTTCTATTTTAGGCTAATTTAACGAATTAGGGTGTTTGTGCTTTAAAGATAAAGTTTGAGGAATAAACATGGGTAAATACACAATATAAATACTAAAAGAATCGAACCTTTTTTTTATTTTGCCTTGAGAACCAATGACCGATTTAATTTTTAATAGCCTTATATTATCAAAACCTGAAGATTTTAATTGAAATTTTTCCTTTTAGACTAAATTTTTTTATTCATTTTCTTTGAATTCCATTTGATCTCATAGGACACAGTCATTATAAAATATTTACATCCACTGAATATTTTCTTCTTTATTTCTTAAGAAAAACCCATTGCGTTCATCCCTGCATAAACTACATTAAGCATATCACCTGTACAGATTTCTTGATCAGTGGCCGTTCCATCAATGAAACGTACAAAGACGTTCGCATCATTAACACAATAATTAATATTTTTAATCCTACTTAAAATGATAATTTAAACAGATATAAATATAAACAATAAAATGTCTTTCTTTGCTTGTTGTTACTGGAATGAACGGTCGCAGCTATTGCAGAAAAAAATAACATAACCCGCTTACGCGGGTTATGTATTTTTTCTACAACAGCTGCTTCCGTTCATTCCAGTAATAACAAACAAAGAAAGCATTTTATTGTTTAAATGAAAGTAGATTTAGTGGATTTTTCTGTACTATTTATATAAATCGCCTAGTAAAATGGACGCCATTGAAAATTCACCAATGTAAGTTTAAATGACAGTTGTGTTTTACTTAAAATGTCTTCAGTTTCTGAATCAGTAAATATTGTAATGCTTTTAACTTTGTATGCAATGTACATTTTTCTTCTTCTGTTTTGTTCTTAATTGTAAATTTAATTATAATTCAGCTGAGAACAAATTATCCTCGTACATGTAAAACATCTTTGAATGTAATAAAAAATTTTGAAGCAGAGAAGGTATTGAATAGTTTACTAAAATGGCATAATATACAGTGTATATCATATATGTCAAAACATATAAAAATTCTCCTTTAATCCTTATTAGAAAGACAGCCCTACAGCATATATCAGAGTCAGTGTTCTTGGGACTGTGTGATAAAATTGGGACCTCACAACAGGTGGCCATGAGAAGAGATATGGTGGACATCATGGAGATGGCGGAAAATCAAGGGAGAGCAAGTGGTGAGTACAGTGAGATGTGGAGTGGAAGTTACAGAGAAGGATTCAGACTGAAAGAATCAGATATAGACATTATGTTCTGGCCAAATGATCACCGTGTGATCTGGGACTTATCTCAGTCTCAGTATTACAACACACACGGACAAACACTGATATTATGTGACTGTTCTGATAGTCCACCAGGATTCACTTTGTTATATTTACTGTCACCAAGCAGGAATCAAGTAATCCAGGGAGCTTGTGTTAGAGTGAATAGCGAATATTATATCTCCAGTTCAGAATACAGAATGATTTGGTGTTCTGCAACTTTGCCTGACTCCATTCCACATGGACCCTGTGTCAGTGGAGTTATTTCAGGGGGAGCAGAATATGAATTCGCCCATTGTTTTGTTAGTGACTTTTGGCCTCCCTCTGCCTCCTCGTGGATAGACAGATGTCACTCATGGCCCAAGCCTCATATTGCTAATGAAATAGTAAAAAATGGATGTCACTTTGTACCAGTAGGACATAAGCTAGGACGACATGAGCACAATGAATGGAGAATTTCTTTCTCTTTTGCAGAACACAAACTTGTGTATGCTATGAACCACTGCCAATTCTTAACTTATGGCTTGCTTAAATTATTCTTAACAGAAATAATTAACAATGGATTAAGTGATGAAGATAAATTACTGTGTTCCTATCACATGAAGACAGCTGTTTTCTGGGTGATTCAACAGAATACATTACAACAATGGTGTCCACAAAATCTCCTGGAGTGTTTCTGGAATTGCTACAAGCTAATCCTTAAGTGGGTGTATGATAGAGTCTGTCCAAACTTTTTTATTCCCCAAAATAACATGTTTCTGAGTAAAGTCCATGGTGAAGCACAGCATCAGCTATTTATTAGACTGTATGGGTTGTATGAGAATGGTTTAGCATTCCTGCTACACAGTCCCTCCATTAGGTCTTGTAATATAAATGTCCTTTACAACCCCCGCCTCTCCATCTGTACAAATGAAAATACTCTGATTTCTGAGACCAGGTTTGATAAAGAGCTGTGGAGGGAGATACATACAATTATTATTATTGTCGTTATGGGTATTTCCTGTGTGAACAGAGTGGTGGATCTGTGTGGTTTTTATGTCACGTGACATGGTCATATAAATAGCAGGTGCGTGCTTTAAAAGTTATTATTATTGTCGTTATGGGTATTTCCTGTGTGAACAGAGTGGTGGATCTGTGTGGTTTTTATGTCACGTGACATGGTCATATAAATAGCAGGTGCGTGCTTTAAAAGTTATTCTACCGCTCGTACAGAACGTTGTAAGGAATGGAAACCAGTAAATTAGGCACACACACACATATATGTATGTATATATAAATATTATTTAATGATTAAAAATAATGGGTGTTGAAATAAATACAAATGTGTTAAATTCGTAATAAACGTTCTGACGAGCAGCATTCCATACATATGAGTTGATTATTCTTTCAATACAGAGTAAAGAGTATAATTAATTTATATTCGGACGAACGAAGTGAGGGAGAATATAAGTGACGCATTCTTCACATCAAACCTAGAAACCTTTATGAGATGTCTACATACAATAGAACAGATGATAGATTTACCCCTCCTGACTCAGTATCAAGTCGTGATGCTACAAAAACTTACAGCTATTGTCATTCAGAAAACAGCTTTTATATTACACATAGCAACTTACACAAATGAAAACAAACTGTGGTATAGAGCTGACAAAATTTCCTGTCATATGGTGAAATTAGCAGCCAAGTTTGGTTGTATTACAGACATGCTGTACATAGCCATGTATTATTACAAGACACTTGGATACATGGAAGCTTTATCTATTATAGAGATGATCAAGGTCAAGTTAGCACAGCCATATGTGATGTATTTGAGTAATGTAGATACCAAGATGTACACTGAGGCTGTAGGGGGACAGTCCTGGTCTACAAAGATAAAAAAGGCTGTAGACAGAGATATCCAGCTTGACAATGACATCCATTATATCAATGAATTGGTACCAGAACAACAGTCTGCTCTACAGAACAGCCGACCTTCATTGCGTATCCCACTATTTGTACTATTATACATGTTAGAAATCTTGTGTTATAGACATGTAGACACATCGAGAATACAAACAGCTCTAGATGATCTACAGACCCTAGTTCACCATGATCAGGGACAACTTATACCTTTATTATACAGAGACATATCGTGGCAGATTCTGGGGATCTGTCAACAGGTGACAGGGAACCTCCAGGCTGCTCTATACTCATACCAACAATCTCTCAGACATGAACCCTTCCATAAAATACAAACAACTACAGAAATGAGAATACAGGAAACCTGTCACAGATTACTGAATTAGTAAAATACCGGTAAAGCTGGACATTTGTAGAAGCCCATCCGATAGAATTTATAATCTGAATATTTCTTCTCATTCTACCATATTTTCAGAATGACCAATTAAAATACACGATGCAAGAGAATACTTTTCTTACAAACAATTTTTAAAACAAAGAAAGTTATATACTAGTTATATTCTAGATCTGTGGTACATGTATAATAACTGTCCAAACATCAACAATATTTTGAAATGTTGTATCTAGCTAGCATATGGTTATATTATGTCATATCGTCGAGGCGTCACATCACCCACTCAATAGTATGCCATTCTCTCTCAATAATCAAGCCGGTCATTAGCCTTATCCACTTCTCACTTACAGGCTATAAATTGTACAATATCAGCTGTCAGCTGAGTGCCCTTGATGCGTCTTACAAAAATCTGTAAGACAACACAAAGCAAAGTAAAAATGTTTTATTATAATGGTTCCAAGAGATCAACAGTTTCAACCTACTTAAATGATCATGATCAAAAAATTACTTGTAGTACTTTTTAGTGTTCAAGAAATTAAATACAACACATGTCCAACGTTTTCTGGGCGATACTAAATGACAAAATCAATTCTGTTTCAGATTTGAGGGTCACAGTGAGAGACCGTCTTTTTGTGCAGATTTTTTTTCATAATTTCTGCTTCATTTGAATGAAAATAGGACGGTTAAGTGCAATTATTACCCATAGGAAGTCCAACAGAGTGTCGGAAGACTTCATCTTCAAAACCATATATTAGATATTGTCTTTCAGAAACTCAACCAACTTTCTAATATCAACTTTGGAGTACTTGTGTGTTCAATCATTCTGTTTTGAGCAATACAACTTGGCAATTCACTAATGATAAGCTAATAAAATTCACCACATATTTTCTGGAATGTTTGTACTAGGGATCTTGTTATATCTCACATGTATTCCTTGTGACCTGTCTAATATGGGTATCAACATTTTTTAACTCTTGACCTTGATGTTGGAGTTTGAACTATATCTAAAAACATTAACCTTATCCATGAGCTGCCACTTGGCAGCATCAGTGTTTCACAAATAGGTATGGTTCAAAATAAATATTTATTCATACATTCGTATATTACATTTACAATATTTACATAATTATAATAGGCTACAGGAAAATGCACTGCTTAACCCATTCAAATTAAATTTTTTTAGTTACAGTACTTAAGGAAAAATACTCTTTATCAAAAGAGATTCGAGTATTAAATGAAACAGTTAGAAAAACATGTCCATTGTAATGTATTATAATAAGCTGTAGTTTATTTGTAAGAAGTCTCATTTTCATTCATATTTCAAATTTTATCAGAAACATCAATAGCTATGCGCCTGATTTCTGTCTTCCCAGCCTCAATAACTAATGACTGTAGAATTTCTGTGTTTCACATCCCCCCATTAACCCCACTAGTTGCTTTGTGACCCGGTTTGAGACAAATGGCGTATAACGTCCACCCAGTCCCACCCCCGTGGCCTCTCTCCAGAGGCGTCCAGTCGGTCAAACATTTTACGTTTCTGATTCTTGGTCAACTGTTCTTTTTTTTCTTTCTTCTTGGCCACCTCCACAACAGAAATCTTGTTTTCACTGACCTAAAGACAAAGTTAATTTATGTAAATAAATGTGGAATTTAAACTTCTATGTAAATTTAGAGTTGAGAGTTTTTACATATTTAAATATAAAATTAAACTCTTTGACCATTGTTGTATACATTTTTTTGCTAAATATGTAAATTCTAAATATATTCTTATGATTTTATGCAATATTATCGTACGTTGGAATTTAGTTTTAGAAAATCAATAATTTAACATTGATTTTGCCTTTTTGCTATATTTTGATATACACATATTACATTTAAGCTCTTATTTAAATTTTACTTGTTTTGTAACTGATTTGATTCATATTCAATCTGTAAAAACCCTTTCAAATGAAAGACAATACATTTAATGTCCATGAGTTTGTAACAATAAATCACTGAACAACAAACCTGATTGATTGGTTGTGTTTCTGGCTGCTCAGCAACAAGGTCATCATAATTCTCCTTGACCCACTCAAACAAAGTGTAGGTCATGGCACAGTCCAATAAGTCGGGGATCTATACGAAAAAAGTTTGACCACGATCAGTGACTCAGCATTTCAAAACTCATTTATCTTTTCAAATATTGCAGCATGGAAGAATGTGCAACAAAATGAGCAAAAATATGTTTCCTTTTTACAATATTATCTACATATTATAAAAATGTTGGAAATGTTTAAATGAAAGTCATTTGCATGAAATATACAGACAAACAAATTACCTGTTCCTGAAGGCCCTCCATGATTTTGGTCTTTACAGTGTCATACCTAAAGATACAAAATATGGATATAGTAGTCCATAAAAAGATAATGTAGGGATAAATATTTACATTTCCAATGTCTTTGTCCGAGATAAAATTACCAAATGTAAATGTAATTTATTTCCTCATGAATGTTTTGGCGCAGTTCCAAAATAAACCACGTGCAGGGCGGGACAACACCTAGAGAGAAGCAGGCTTAGAGCCCGTGGATTGGCGGAATCAAAGCATGTAAATATAAGGAATAACTGTCTTATTTTTCGAATTCATGAAGATGATCAATGGATTGGCTTGTGTGATAATTTTATGCATAAACGCCTTCGGCGTTTATGCAAATTATCACACAAGCCAATCCATTGATCACTTCATGAATTCGAAAAATAAGACAGTTATTCCTTAAATATGTTGTCATACTATTTTCAAGTATTTGTCGGACACTCTTTACTGTTTATAATATGTTGTGCACATACCTATCCATTTCAAAGATTTTGTGGCTATACTACCATGCCGGAAAAAATATTTCATGGGATATTTCATCAAGTTCATGAGGACCCGCGTTATTTTCAAACCCTGTTGTGCTTGATTACGGAACATAATATCTTATATTGTGAATAAATACTCTTCATACAACTTCAATGTACATTTAACTTATAATTATGTGTTTGTTGTACACTTTACTTACATGTGTTTATTATACACTTTACTTACATGTGTTTGTCTTACACTTTACTTACATGTGTTTGTCATACACTTTACTTACGCGGTACATGTGTTTGTTGTACACTTTACTTACATGTGTTTGTTGAACACTTACTTACATGTGTTTGTCGTACACTTTACTTACATGTGTTTATTGTACACTTTACTTACATGTGTTTGTCTTACACTTTACTGACATGTGTTTGTCTTACACTTTACTTACATGTGTTTGTCATACACTTTACTTACATGTGTTTGTCATACACTTTACTTACATGTGTTTGTTCAGAGACGTATAAGAGAGGGACCGCTAACTCATTTTCGCGCCAAATTATCTTCATGTTTTCGCAGCGCCCTCACCGGGAGGCATAGAAAGACTTCCGGTCGTATTAGCTGCAGTGTTTTCATCGAAGACTTTGGGGTAAATATTGCTAATATATTGTATATTTTACTATTTATAGCCTGCACATCAATAATAATTTACATTAGGTGGATATCTATGATGTATTTTTGCAGCTATAAAGAGAAATTAAAAAGATAACACGTATAACATGAGACCATGCATCATAATGTTTACATCTTGTCGTTGTCTGTACAACATTATTAATTCTGAATAAAAATGTTCTCTTGTTGAAAAGTTGCTCCTTTTATCTTCATAAACATTGTAGACTCAGGCCCTTAGGAACCGGTGAGCTTGGAGGAAAAATTAGCAAGCATCTAGGCACGTTTCGTTTTAAAAGGGGGGAGGGTATGTAAATGTAGGAAAAGTTATCTGGGAAAAAAAACTTGAAGACAAGCAAATAAACATGATAAAAAGGGAAGGAAATTGTCAGAACAATCTGTAGAAAAATACTACTAGTATTTTGTGTAGGTGGGGCCGGGATGGGGGGGGGGGGGCAACTTTTAGTGTACATTTTCAACAGTAAATGGGTACACTGTATATGTTGTGGAATCCGGGATGTTTCGCGCCGATTCTGTTTCGCACTGAGATGGTTCGCGCCAGGATGATTCGCGCCGATTTCGGTGCGAAACATCTCCCCTCTTTTATTAAATATTTCATTTATCTTGTAATAATTTAAGGTCATGTATTAAATCTTAGATGTAAATATGTGTTTTATGCTCAAAATCATGACTTAATAATATGCGTGGGCATGTGTAACGGATCGTAAATGTTAATATGGTGCCCGTTTCCTCAGCGTGTGTGTTCAACAATTTAAATGTAATTTGCTGGAGATCAAAAGGTTCCCCAAGCTAGCAATAATTACAGAATTAATTAGATGGCGGTGTGATAAAGTAACTACTATAAACCTAATTATCAGTGTAAGAATAATATACAATTAGACTACATACATGTACTTCAAATAAACTTCTACAATTTATTGATTGATTGATTGATTGTATATTGTTTAATGTCCCTCTTGAAAATTTTTCACTCATATGGAGACGTCACCGATGCCGGTGAAGGGCTTCAAATTTAGACCTATACTCGGCACTCAGGGCCATTGAGCAGTGAGGGTTCTTTATTGTGCCAACGCCTACCGTGACACGGGACCTACGCTTTTAAGGTCATATCCGAAAGACCCGTGACTTTCACTTCTAGTGCCGAGCGCTTGGCGAAGGAACAGTCACTACCTATGTTTACGTCTTAGGTATGACGTGGCGCCGCGATCGAGAATCGAACCCGGGCCTCCCGATCACGAAGCGAACGCTCTACCACTAGGCCACCGCGACCGGTTTCTACAATTTAAAAAAAAATAATTAATATCCTACAAAATCTCGATACTTACATCAATATTTACAAATATTATAATTTTTCTTTTTTTTTTAGAAACGAACGAAATAAATAGCATGTTCTTAGAGCGAAACATCGTGAGGCGAACCATCTCAGCGCGAAACAGAATGGACGTGAAACATCGCGGTGCGAACCATGCATCGGCGCGAAACATCCCGTTACCTATGTTGTGGACCCCCCCCCCCTTTTCACCCATCAATATAATACTTTTATGTGCTATTCGAACATTAGAAACTACCTTTGCTTTAATGTTTCCCTTAAATAAATATTAAACTCATATGTTTTTCTTTTCCTTTTTTTATTTGCTCAACTGAGATTTGTCCCCAAAACTGAAATTCCTTCCCACAAAAGGGGCCTGAGAGTTTCTCAACATTTTAAAGACTTGATCATAGTATTGAGATGTATTATTTACTTTTTTGTATATCCAAGAATGTATAATAAGGATGTTAAATTTTACATCATGTAAAGATTATAGATGAACACTTGTTCATGTAATCTCCAGGTATGTCAGAAATCACTCTCCTCAACAACAGACACAGATTGCAAGCAGAGGAAATGAAGAATTAATGCATAAATTTTTATGGGTGAATTTATCCTGACCACCATAAATCTATTAAGTAAGTGGCAATTTTTACTCATTTATATCACAATATTTTTTTTAAAATGTATTATTTTGCTTCACATGACTGTAAACGTGTTATTTACATCAAAATTTGCATCAGGATCAATATCAAATACAATTGTACATGTATTACCTTGATTTATAGAGTGATAATCTTATATGTTCTTTGCAAGGGGATACTCCGCCTTGCGGTGTCCTTGTTTCATGGGGATTGTTGATCTTTCTTTTTACTGCTTTTGATTTTTTTTTTTAAATATACCATACTAAATAATGAACAATTATTATCCCAGGTTTTACAGGTATATTTCATGGGGCTATTAAATTCTCTTCTTCATTGATTTTGTCTTTTTCATATTTTCAGAGTAACAGTACCTCTCTTGATTGATTCTACAAGATTCTGAAGTTGTTTTCTCAAAAGACCTTGACCTGCTTCATAAGGGTGTTTTAAGCGAGATCTAAGGATGAACTAGATGCTGTCATGAGACAGTAATACCCGCACTAAGGTGTTTGCCTCTAAATGCACACTCCTCTAAAATTAGGCTTTACCAAAGAAAAAGTCAATATAATTTAATAATTTACATAATAGGGCCTCCATGTATTCATCAAATTGAGCATAATATTCTCAAGTGAACATGTGACCCGTCACCATGGGCTTCGATCTTATAGGTACATGTATTTCATATTCATAATTTATTACCAGTCTGAAATTAAACAACAGAATTCAATTAATGATGTAAATTAGGTTTGAAACAAGGGGGGGGGGGGGTTAAATTTTTGGCCCATAATTGGAACTTTTTAAATCTATTTTCTCATATAGATCAACAACAAATATTATTCAAATTAGTTTAAAGCGTTTTTGATGATTTTTTCTAAAATGTACAAACTTTTTTTATACTTGATTAGGCAGAAACACCTTGAAAGCTGCCATATACCATTTATACCCAATCAATTTAGTCAACCCCCACCCTTCTCCCATCAACACACACACGCGCAAACACACCCTATTTTCCTGTTTTTGGAAATAGGCCTAGATGGCAAAGTTAAGATAAAACATCTTTTGTAAATAATAATTTTAAATTTGTTCTTATACTGTAAATGTATCTGAAGACCTGCATCACATTGGGTTTGCGTCACGTTCCTAACTTAAGTACTAGTTTTACCATTATCATTTTTAGATAGCACTGCACGTGCAGTACTAGGCCTAGTGTTGTGTACACATCATTGCATGTATGTCAGTTGGAATTATTTTGTGTTTAATTGGATTATATTTCATGAAGTTGGAGCTATGGCAGTCGGTAAGTACACGTTTTGGTATAGATTTGGGTAAAATAGTATGAAATGCAACTGGTTAGGTTAAAGTTTAAAGGATCAAAGGTCATCCGATGCTGCAATAAGACGAATTTCACATTCTAAAGAGTTATCCACCGTTATCGACGTTACATTCAGTTACAAAATACAGAATTTTTTTCTGAGAGGGAGGGGGGACTTCCAGACCAGAATTTTCTGAGAAGCAAATAAAAGGAGAAGTTATGGTGGTGTCTGTTTTCTAGGGTGGGGGGCATCCAAAGTCTTTTTTATATTATAGTCCTGCAAATTCGGGGGGGGGGGGGGGGGGGTCTCAAGAGACACTTTCAGTCCCTGTAAACAGTAATGGCAAATGATCATGTGACTCCTAAATAGTAGGAAACTTTTTCCATTTGACAATACATAATTTTGCGCTTTTTGTGTTATTATGTTATGTAAATTTAATGGTATAAAGGTTTTGAACCCCCTGGAGGTCATCCCCACTCTCCTAATGATTCTAACTGGAAATGTTCACAATATGACTGCATTAAATGAAATAAAAGTGCATCAATGATAAGATTGCTTGACATTTCATTCATCAACCTATCCTCCT